TGGTAGTGGAAATTTATCTGCTACTAGCTTTTTATTTATTTGACGGTAGTCGATTACTAATCTCCAACGCTTTTGTTCCGAACCAGGATTTGGGAAAAGTAGTATTCTAATACTGAGGGTTATGCTATGCCATATTCTATAAGTTTTTCAACTTGTTTATCTATATCTTCTTTTTGGCTATGGGGTGTTCTGTAGTTTTTAATATATACTGGAGTGTCATCCCTTAATCTTAATTTTTGTTCATAAAAAGTATTTGAGGATATGGGTTCGGTTTCTAATCCGAATATATCGGTAAATTCGTACATAGTTTAGTGCGGGTACTTTTAAACATCTAGGGGAACATTTTTTGCTAATTTGGATAAGATTAAATTTTTTCGTGTTTCATGTTCAGGATTTTTAAATATTTTGTAGTTCTCTAATGGTTCAAACTCTATTTTAGAGATGTTTATAATTTTATTTGTGTCGGTTGTATTTAATATTCGGACAAATGTGTTAGTTGAATTAGTTAAAGTACTGGCTATAATGACACCATCATCTATACACTGATTTTTAATAAGTATTTCTTTGTGAGAGGTTGTTAAGTAGATTTGTCTCACAACTTCAGATCGTGCTGGGATAATTAAATTATTATCAATTGAATGTATAATTGGAATATTTATGTCTTGATTGAAATTTTGGGGTCGAGCTATTAACCAATCATGATCCTTTTGAAAATCGTGTTGGCAATTAAACTTTTTTATAAAATCCATTCCCAATATACCGTCACAGGGTATTGAGAAGTCATTATCTACTATTTGTATTGTCTATTTCACCATATTGATCAGAATTTATTTTTAAAATACTTATGTCTGAGCCTGTGTCTATTAAAAGCGTTAAGGGTGTTTTCATGTGATAATTTTGAATATTTATATAAACATTAAGACTGAGATTTAAATTTGTACAGTTCGGATTTTTGTGGCTGTTCTTTCTTAAGGGAAGTATTTAGTTTTCCGATTGAGACTCAACGGTTCTTACTCACATAGCATGTGAGTTGCCTCTAGTGTTGTTATTTCCGTTGTTATTTGTTCCACCACGGTTATTACCTCTATAATATCCACGACCTATATTGTTATTATTGGTCTGGTTATTAAAGTTTCGGTTATAGCCGTTATTTTGGTTGTATCTATTGTTTTGGTAATATCCGCTATTTTGATAGTTACCTCTGTAGTTACTCCTACCGCGATAATTATTTCTGAAATTATTACCTCGATAGTTGGTAATATTTTGTGTGTATAATATTGAATTGGCGTTGCCTGTCATTTCAGTACTACAATGAATGTACTTCGTGACGTCTTCGTTCATTGTTGAGAAGTTGCAAGCTTCTAAAATTGTCTTAAGTTGGCCATGCCCACAATTTTTAATCATTGTGGTTATGGCTTCCTTTGTGCTGAACTTGTCAGCGTGTTCGGCCGGTGGTCCTTCGTCTATGTCGTCGAGGAGCTTACGAAGGTTTTCTATTTCAGTTGTGAGTTTTTCGGCTGTTTTGCCTTTCTGGCTTGTTTTCGCCATTTTAGCTTTAACTACGTCGGATGTTTCGCCGACCATAGTTGTTATATATTGCCAACAGTACAACTGTTTTCTATTCCTCCATTCTATACTCTGTTATTACTTTAAGAATCTGGCAACTCTGTATGCTTCGCATAGAATAAAAGCAGTCTGAAATAGAACTCAACGAGAACACAACATATTGGAGACAAGGAAAAACCTGAAAAATTTTGTCGAAAGATAAAAACATTTAAATCGCATAAATCGTGTCGAGTAGTCGTTGATTTTCATCAAGATGCCGGCAGATGATGATTTGATCCAAGCAATACTTGCTCAACAGCAAGCATTTACAAAAGACATTATGGAACAGCAACAGAAATGGATGCAAGCAATGATGGATAGAAACGCTTCTCCAGGGCAGGGTGATTCAAGCGACATGGGTGAATTATCTTCGTGTCCTCCATTCCACAAATTCGACAAAGACAATCAAAACTGGGAGTCTTACCTTGAACAGTTAAACCAGCATTTTAACGCGTATTCGGTTAGTGCAAAAATTAAGCAAAAGGCTTATTTTCTTTCGTGGTGTGGCATAAACATATTCGAACTATTGAAAAATCTGTTCGGGAACAACAATTTGAACACGTATACATATGTACATGCAACTCACAGACAAGTTAACGGAACATTTTGCAACAAAACGACACGTTGTTGCTGCTCGCTATGAGTTTTTTAAGAGGGAGATGAAACATTCGCAAACGCACAGAGAGTGGGTAGCCGACTTGCGCGGGATCGCTCGGGAATGCCAATTCGTCTGTAAGGCCAACGGTTGTTCTTCTAACTATGTAAATGAAATGATGCGAGATCAGATCATCAGACATACGCCATACGATGCCGTCCGAACATCTGCTCTTCAAAAGTCTCAGCCAACTCTTGAAGATGTGCTTATAGTTGCAGAAACCACAGCCACAGCGTCCGTAATCAACGCCACTACGCTGTTGAATAACCCAAAAATTAGTCAAGTGTTCCCGAGTATTACATACGTTTGGTCAAACACCAATACCATTGCTTGGGGAGTTGCACACAATTGCAAAGTGCGGTGAAAAAGAGAAGCAAGTGGTCATAATCGTTGCGCACATTGAGACATCAAACAATCTATTTGGCATACAACGAGGTGTTCGAACAAGCCATGGGTGTCATAAAAGACTTCAAAGCAAGTGTATTTTTAAAACCGTCAGCAACACCAAAGTTTTTTAAGAGCCGTCAAATTCTATTTGCACAGATGGCCCAATTCAGAGCTGAGGCAGACAGACACAAGCCGGAATTTGGAAGCCGATCAAATTCAGCAATTGGGCATCCCTAATTGTGCTTGCACCAAAACCAGGAGGCGCAATTCGCATATGTGGCGACTTTAAGCAAGCAGTCAACGCACAGATCGATGTTGAGCAGTACCCGCTACCGACAAAAGAGGCTCTGTTTCACATAATACGTCACGGCAAGCAGTTCAGCAAAATCGATTCAAGGGATGCCTATCTTCAAATGGAACTGGGTGAGGATTCAAAAACTATCATGGTCGTCAACACACCCCTTGGCCTATTTCAATACCAGCGCCTTCCCTACAGGATTGCCAGTGCTCCAGGGATCTTCCAAAGGTATTTGGAGCCGCTTCTAAAAGGAGTAGAAGGATGTGGCAACTACTACTACATCATCATCTCAGTACCTACAAGCGGGCAACATCTAAAGCGAATCGACCAAGTTTTCAGTATTCTTCGTGAGAACGGTATCAGATGCAAAAAGGAGAAATGTTTCTTTTTCACGGACGAAATAGAGTACTTAGGTCGAAGAATCAGAGCTCAAGGGATTCTTCCAGACAGCTCAGGCTTGGAGGCTGTTAAATTGTTGCGTCCGCCTTCTAATCTACAGCAATTAGAAGCATTCATGGGTTAATTACTATTGCAACTTTATACCGAATTATTCTCAGTTGGCCGCTCCTTTGAACCAACTTCGTAGAAAAAATGTAGCATACCTTTTTGGGCCGCAACAACAACAAGCTTTTACAGCCCAGAAGTCACATATTATTAACGCTACTCAGCTAGCTCATTTCGATGAAAACCTACCACTAGTCCTTGCAACGGATGCATCATCTTTTGGTATCGGCGTAGTCCTTTCGCATATCCAACAAGATGGCAAGGAGAGACCTATTGTTTTCGCATCAAAAACACTTGACAAACATCAGGTTTAATACATTTAAATATAACGGATCATAAGCCACTTGTAACGATTTTCAATCCAGGCAAACATCTTCCTTTAATGACGTCAAACAGGCTAAAGCGCTGGCCCCTCATAACTTTGAAATTCGGTATTGATCTACATCTGCTCATGGCAACGCAGATTCCCTATCGCGCCTTCCCGTGGGGATGGATCCGGATTTCGACAGAGAAGAAGAAGCCTGCCACATCGTAATAGAACTGTCACGCCGATCAATTCTGAGATCATTCGCAACCACATCGAAAAGGACAAACTTCTCAAACAAGTCCGGTACGTTACTGTAAGTACGGTATGTTACTGTAAGATGACCAGAAAAACTTCAGCAAGGCGAGGAAGCATTATCACCATACTTTAATCGAAAATTTGCCCTCACGATCAACAAAAAATTGCTTTGCCTACACACAGAAGCCAGTCGTGTAGTAATCCCAGTAACTCTTCAAGCGCATATCCTGAAGCTGCGCGGGAGCGAATTCATATCGACTTCGATTCTATGTGGCAAATCTGCGTAGAATGACCAAAATGTAAGGGATTCCTGTAAAATGGAAAACGTGAAGGTGTTTGAGTTCTGTATTAAAACTGACTTTATTTTTCTAAGTCTTCGCTTACGTAACTAACATGAAATTCTCATAATATACTTATCTATGGTCTACGCAGAGACCACATCTGTTTGCCTGAGCGGGAGCCTTATCAACGGTCTCCCGCAAGGCGACCTTTTGTGCAGTGTGAGAACTATATTTATGGTCAGGCTCAAGTGGCCTGTACTTAAGATTACAATTGTTCGGCACTGCACCCTTTTAGGTTTTAAGTTACAGATCGCTATTAACGGCTCTAGATAGATATACATATTGACAGAATCCGAGCTCGTAAAATCTTATATTTATGATAATTAGTGTTCTTCTTGAACATCCATCAACGCCGCTCTCTCTCGTTGGTGATTTTTCGCTCTACTATAATACTAATATAATCACAAATTTCACCATTTTTAATAAAAACTTGTATTAGTTAAATCAGTAGCTGTTTATTGTTGAGGTGCAGCACTGAGTATAATAAGTTTTAAATTTTCAGAGTTCGACACAAATTGTAAAATAAATAATAAAATATACATTTTACAATAGAGAAACCCATTTAAGAAATCGATTTCCCATTCTCTTGCTTGCCGGTGTACAATTATTCTACTCTTTTTGATATTTATTTTGATTTTTTTATTGCAGAAAGACGAATTTCCCGTCAGTGAAAAGGTGGCTCTACAACTAGCAGGACTTCAAGCTCAAGTAGCGTTGGGAGATCCATCCAATCAGCCAAAACCAGAATATTATTCAGATATAAACAGCTTTTTACCGAGTAGAATATCAAAAACAAGGGAACAACAGTTTTGGATACCAATTTTAGCGCAAGCCCATAGGCAGTACGGATCCTCAAGAAATGAGTTAACAGCCAAAGTTTTGTACCTAAGCTGCGTAATGCAATATCCCCTTTATGGCACAACAATGTTTAATGTCAATTACAAAGGGTATTGGAATTTTGTAAACAGTATAGTACTTGGAATACATTGTGATGGAATTATGTTTATTCATCCTGAAGATAAATCAGTCATCTATCAATTTAAATATGAAGATATTGAATCAATTATATTGGATCCTAGTGACACTTTTATAACTATATCAGTTAATCGTAGCACACAACCATTATACAAAAATTGTCGAGAAGGAAACTTTCCCATAGAGTCACAGAAATGTTTTGTTTTTGAAACCTTGCAAAAAAATGACATAGGATCTTTGATAATTTCGTATTATCCTTCTTTATCAAATTGGATCTTAAACATAGTGGAGTGCTCAAAAAAAATGAAAGGTACTACAAACGAAGACAGGTTGAGGTTGTATCAAAATGTTGTTGTTTGTAGACGACAATTAGTGGACTTGAATATAGTTAAAAAACCCCAAGAGATAGGAGGCTTTTTAAGAAACACTCTTAGACGTCTGTCGAAGCATCGATTAGAAAAATTAAGATCTGAACAAGGGTCTACGGTGCATGATCATGGAGAAACATACAAAGGGTTTTCACATTCATTTTGGGCATTTAGTAAACAACAAATTCCATTTTGTCTAAGTACCATTTTTGACCAAGAGGAATCCACAATGGTGCAAGTATTTGATTCAATATTAACATTTTCTGGACTTGGAACTTCAGGTAAGTAATACAAAATTATTAGTATTAAGTAAACGTCACACACCAAAAATAGTCCTTTTTAGAAATAAGAAGTATTATCAAAAAGGTTTGCTCAGATCCTACATTTAGGCTCTCTAGATCAAAAATATAAACTGGCTGGTTATGCCATGTCATGGAAGTCATAGACCAACCCTCAGAAAATTCGAAACTTTGCCCTTAAAACGCATGACTTTGCCTATCAGTAACGAAAATTAGTACATTGGAGTGCCCAAAACCAACAGACAATTATAATTGATTTTATAGAAATACAAGGTTTGAGTGGTTTCCGGTCGATATGCTAAGAATATGAAGGGAGGATACTATCCAATCTAGGTTAATACCCACCAGGTCGTTTAGGTCATCAAAGAAGTAAGCTCCCAGATACTTAAAACTGCGCTGGATTAATGCTAGGAATTGCCAGAGAAGATATGCTCAGCATCCTTTCTCCTCAACATCAATAAAGCTTGTACTGAAATCATTATGAGGTACATGAGTGCATATATGGCGCTCTTCTGTAAGCCTGTAAAACATCTTTTATTTTTGTATTATTTATTTAGACAGAGTTTTGAAACTCCAACTTTTGCTACAACAGAAAGCTATATCTGTTTTCAAATTTGACATCCATTTTTACCCCTTCTCATTAAATAAAACACAAAACGCGATTTACTTTTAGGTAATAATTTTCTAACTAAAATGTTTTACCAATTACGAAAGTAGCAAAATAATTATGATTTAATTTCCGCCTTTTAACTATTTTTTTAACCCAAGCCATTTTGTGTCTATAAAATCAGTTGACAAAATTGTCAATGACAACAGACGTGTTCTTATATCGCTCCGCCGCGAAACTAAAAATACACCACAAATAGCCGAATTATATTTCGCGAAAAGACCCTCAGAGTGTGCGCATGGGTATTTGTGCTCATGTGCTTTGGAAATGATAAATTACTAGTGTTTTAGTTACTAAGATAAGTGATAATAAAATAAAGGCAACGTGTAAGAGCGTAAGCTCTGTATCGAAAAGCTATAATGAGCAAGACTCGGCAGCAACAACAAGACGAACGTCGGCTCTCGTCAATCAGAAATAACGCTTACTTCTCCATAAGAGCGGAGGAGTTAACAGAACCGGCAACAGCTGCAACACTGCAAGCGAATACGGAGAGAGCACGCTCACTCTCTCCTGGCTTATTATGTCCAAGCGGCACACCACAAAAACAGCCGTGTAGTGCCCAATGTCCGTACCCCGACCCTTACTACATAACCAACGATCTGCTCATTACAACAACGACCAGCACAATGCCCTCGTTTAAAACGGTGACTTCGACACTAACGACATCAACAACCACCACAACAACCACATATACTGCAGTTTCTGTTTCGTCAGCTCTAGCCCCTACCCAACCCAAAAATACAAAAAATGGTAATGGATCATAAATACAAACAGGAATCGATCGATATGAGCAAATAAAAAGAAAACTAAGCCCACAAGCAGCTAAAAAAAACAAATGCACCAAAAGTTAGCAAGAAAATTGGAAACACTGTGTCAAACAATGCGCTGACAAGTTATCAATTTTCTATTCTCAGTGATCTAAAAGATGATGACAATACCGCTCAAAGACCTAGTGCCAAGCAACCAAGGCCACCAACAATTTTTGTACGTCAGGCAAACTGTGCTGAATTGGTTAGAAAAATAACTGAGCAAATTGGAGCAAACAAGTTTTATGTAAAGTCCATAAAAAGGGGTTACATCAACGAAACAAAAATACAAGTGAAAGACGAGCAAGACTACCGATCAGTGGCCAAACACATCGATAACCGAAAAATAAACTACTACACCTACCAACTAAAAAGTTGCAAAGGATTACAAGTAGTTATCAAAGGTATTGAAGCAAAAGTCCCTATCTATGAGATTATAGCTGGACTTAAAGAAAAGAGCTTTTCCAAAGCCGATGTTCAAGGTAAAGTTGGAGCCGGAAAGTATGCACTTGAAAAACAAAAACACCCAGCTGACAGGTCAGCAAACCACTGCTGATACAGTGCGACAACCAATATTGAACCAGAATCCAGAAACTACTGGCCAACATACAACTGCAAACACACAATTGCCTAACGGCGTAGAAGCAATGCTGGTAACTATAACCAACACAATGGTAACAATACAGCAAACGCTGCAGGAACTTATGCGCTCTCAAAAATCTCCTTTTGGAGCTATTAATCAAACAGAAATCTGCTTAGATGGTTTCCTTAAAAACATGTTTCTAGAATGCGAACGACATTTCACAGCACAAATAGCACATGATTATATCAGAGACTCTCCTAACAAACAAAAACTATTTTCACCTTAATGGCTATACAATTTATGAAACAAAACCAAACAACCAAGGCTCATGGCGGTACTGGCATACTGATCAAGAAACGCATCAGGCACTATGAGTTGCCATCATTTGCAACAGCCTGTATACAAGCTACATCAATACACATCGATACCAGAAGCGGTTTCTTAAATTTATTCGCTGTGTACTGCCCTCCACGCTGTTCCATTTCCGAAGATGAATTTGTACAGTTATTTGACCTATTAGGTGACCGTTTTTTAGCGGCTGGTGATTACAATGCAAAACACACCCACTGGGGCTCTCGACTCACCAACCCCAAAGAAAGCAGCTGTACAACGCTATAATAACACAAAGAAACAAGCTTGGTCTTATCTCTCCTGGTAAGCCTACATATTGGCCAACATATCCTAATAAGAAGCCTGACAAAATTGATTTGGCCGTCACAAGAAGAGTGGCTAGAGATCATGTCCGCGTGGAACACTATATTGATGGATCCCATATTGATGGATTCCCAAACATGTACCAAAAATAAGCTGAGTTGAAGAACTAGTGTCTGTTATATCACTAGCTGCACAACACTCCACCCCTATTATACCGGCTTGTAATCCTGATAACAACTGTCTAATCGAGCAAACGATATCCACTGTGGAAAGCCAAATCATATACCTGATCAAAAGTGAGTCGCCATTACACACACAGACAGGAGAATGGGCTCGCAGCAATGAAGAGAAGGCAATTGTATTTGCCGTACATCTAGAAAACGTTTTCAAACCACTCACACCAATAAATAGCTTTGTGCTCCCAACAAACATCTTCGACCGCGTTTGTCTGGACGGCTTAATTTATAAAATTAAGACCTTGCTTCCACAGAACACCCATAAAATACTGGAGTCATATCTTGAGCATAGAAGTTTCGCAGTGCGATATAAAGATTTCCTCTCCGAATACCATCCAATTGAAGCTGGAGTACCTCAAGGTAGCGTGCTTGGACCAACACTATATCTAATTAACACAGCAGAGCTTCCGACAACCAGTCTTACAACAACATCAATATTTGCTGATGATACTGCCATTCTAAGACGATTTAAGTTCCCCATAAGAGCAACGAAACAATTATCAGCTCATATCAGGCTTCTAGAGAAATGGATAGCAGATTGGCGCATAAAAGTTAACGAGGAAAAGAGTACCCTAAACAGACAATCTTGCGCCCCATTATCTCTGAACAACATTCATATCCACAAACAACTGAAGTAACATATCTTGGAGTCCATCTTGATAGACGGCTTACTTGGAGAAAGCACATCGAAGCTAAACGAACACAACTTAAATTAAAAGCAAGAAGCCTACATTGGTTAATAAATGCCCGTTCCCCGCTAAAATTGGAGTACAAGGTAGTTATGTACAATGCAGTTCTCAAGTTAATTTGGAAATATGGCTCCGAGCTATGGGGAAACGCATGCGTTAGCAACCTAGAAGTTATACAGTGAGCTCAATCAAAGATACTGAGAACTATAACTGGTGCAACGTGGTACATACGGAATCAAAACATTCACAGAGATTTAAATGTGGGATCTGTTAAAGACGAAATCGACAATGTAAAAGAAAAGTATATGATCAAGCTACAGGCTCATCCAAATAGGCTTGCGCAGTCTTTAACCTGGAACACTAGCCATTCACGACTCAGGCGAAGAGCAACAATAGCAACAACCACCCAGCAACAATAGCTAGGGCCGTTCTCCTAAAAACCTTGATTTGAACTACTTAAATTTATGTATTAGGCTAAGATTTGAATACTTGTCGTTAGTCTCGAAGAGAGAACATTCGATAAATAAAAAAACCGTAATTACAAAAAAAAAAAAATCAGTTTCAGTGCAAACAAGCATTGATTCAACCATCGCAATCATCAGAGACTGTCGCCGTGTCTTCGTTTCTCAACCCGCAAACAATCTCAGCAGTAAAACTGGTTACAAGAACTAGTTGCAGATAGTTTATGACCTCCTAATGGTAATTTCGGATAAACATTTTTCGTGATCTGTAAGGAGTTCAATTACTCTGACAAATGTCCGCGTATCATGTGCAAAAGTGAAATAATAAACTGTGCATTTCTGTCGTGTGCAGAAAGCAAAGGTTGAACTGCAAATCAATAATATACTGAGTCATAAATAAACATGCCGAGTGCTGAAAGCTGGATCATTCATCTCTACGTCATGTTGCTCTTGTGCATCCGTCCGGGACAGAGAAAAATACAGGAAGCGGCGACTGCAAACGACGTGGTTTACTATAATCTGGGAACGGTAACGAACGCATACCTAAAAACTGAACGTCCGCGAAGCCAACGAAAGGGAACCTACCCCGGGCATCCAGAACGAGTCAATCGATAGCAGCGAATCCCGGTACGACTACGGTGGAAGGAGCAGTAGAACATCCAGTCACAGAGAAGAACTCGGGAATACATTGACCCTATAAACCCTAGGTTAATATCCTAAAATATCGTAACAGCTTGCTAAATCGGGAGCAATGCTTCCTCTCCAAACTAATTATCAAAGTAAGGAGGAGAAGCAGTTGTTCGCGGCAGTGGAAATTGGATGAGTCGCCTGCAAGGCTCAAAATTGGGAGTCACATCAAGTATTATCAGCGATGAGGTGGCGGACA